GGGGAGCGGCGACGCGCATGCGCAGTCCTCGGGCTGGCCCGGCGCACCTTTTCTCGCTGCAGCCACATTGTGAGCGCTCGGCCCTGCAGATAACCGCCGGCTCCCCGCCCCGCCCCCGCCCTCGCCCACTCCGCCCACTCCCGGGCGCCCAGGTAAAGGCGTGCGCTGCGCATGCGCTGCGCTCCCCTTGGGTCGGGGGCGTGGTTCCTGAAAGGAAGCCAAAATGCGAAGTGGGAGGGAGCTGTGAGCGGTGGGGGGGGTGGGAGTCCACGAAATGAGGAGGGGTAGTCTTAGGGGATGGTTAGCACTAGGGCGAGGTAAACTGGAGGAAGGGGGCGAAAGTTGAAAAGTGGGTCGAAGTATTTGGAAGGAATAGAGCCTTCAGCTTGTGGAATAAAGTTTAAAAGTCGTGACGGCTCTCCTGCTTTTTACTGGAGGGCAGCGTGAATGACAGAAGTAAAGGAGGCAGCATACAAGCGGTGGTGGTCGTTCACGGCTAAATGGGACAGCTAATAAAACTGGAGCAATTTAGATTGCCAGAGTGGTCAGAAAAACAGTTTTAGAGTCAGGCTTGTCCTGTGGCCAAGAATAGGGAAGGGGATGTGTGTGTGCGCAAGCGCGCTCCAGAGTTGCTGCAAGAAAGGAACCCTCCATTCTAAGTATTGCAGCATTATGACTAATTAGCTATTAATCATTAATATAATTAATGGTACTATTAGCTAACAAGGCAGCATTTATCCAAGTTCAGAGCCAAGAGAGAGAGTCCATAATTCAAAATGCTTAGGGTCCAGGGAGAAGAAATGACTTGGTGAGGTGAAGGCCTGGAGGAGAAAAAAGGACCCAGGGCAACAACCCCCAGGTCAGAATGACCCTCTCCCACCATAACCGAACTTCCCCGGAAGTTGCCCAAGTCTTATCTTAATTGGAACGCCTTCCATTATTAAAAGCACACACTTAGCTGATGTTCTTGTACTAAAGCTGACCTCAACAGCACGTGAGCATTTTTGATACGAATATAGTTACTTTCCTCCAAATGGCACACCCCTCCAAAAAAAATTCCTGCAGGGAGTAAAATGACCTGAGCCTGGGACAAAGTTAAGAAAGAGATTGAAACTTTATGAGGGGGTCCAAGAGCTGACTCTGTCCTTGGCCCCTTCCAAAAACAGATGCTTGGCTTTTATTACCCTTGGCCTCCAGATTCCAAGGATCATAGTTTTGGCAACTTTGGGTTCTGTCTTCAATAATAAGGGTTTTCAGTGGATAAACACTAAAAGTTTATCTCAGCAGGTAGAGAGACAATCTACAGGCAGAACAGGAGAAAGGCAGCATAAGTAATAAAAGAAACATAGTCAGTGTAAGAAAGAACTTGGCATTCGTAGCGGCTGGTGACCCCAGAATGTCTGGCTGAGACGTCTTCTTGGACATTTGTTCCATTTTCCGAAAGGAGTAGCCTGCTGGTCCAGAGATCCTGCTTGGAAGAGGCATGTGCAGTCCTACAGCTGCAGAACAAGGTGACCTTCCAAGTGCTGTGACCCTCTACCTGCAGCCCTCTCTGCAGGACTATGGCCACTGCAGTAGTAATAATGACTCCATCTGAAGAGTGCTTTAGGGGTTTTCTGCAGGGAGGTTGTGTCCTTATCTCATCAGACCTTCCACCAGTCCTGCAAGGCAGACGGGACAGGTACTGTTCCCAATTAAGGAAATTCAGGCCAAGGAATGTCTCAGTGGCCTGGTCAGAGTCACCAGCCCAGTCAACAGCGAAGCCAGCGTTCAGGGCTCCCGGAGAGCTTGGTAGGCCCACTGTGAAATACTGCCATGTATTCTTGTGAACTGAAAGCAGGTGTCCCAACTGAGCTCTGCTTCTGCAGCTTTTTTACTTTGCTTTTCCTTTTTCCTCTCTCTGGAGCCCTGTGACTTGCCCTGTGGAGCTCTGTGACTGGTGCTTAGGAAGGCTTTAGGCCTCCGCCTAGCCAGCAAGGTCCCTTTTTGGAGATTCTAGTTCCTCTACTCCTTCCCCTTTACTCGCCTACCACAGGGAAGGGGCTGCCAACCAAATCACTAATTCAATAAATAACTAGAGAAGGGCTGCTTCCAAGGCCGCCCTTGACGGGCTGTTGACACCGCCGCTTGGCAGTCATCACAGGCAATGCTGAGCACACCGTGTGGCCTTATGGGAAGATCAGTCTTGTTGTCCTGGTTTCCTGGCCTTGGATAGCTTTTCACTAACTTTTTCGTTACACAGTGTGTAGAAACAAGCAGAACTCCCCTTTTTAACTTAAAAAGTCTGTCTAAAAAGTTCTGTACACCTTAAGAGTCCTTCAAACTTTCTTACTTTTAAACAGCAGCAGACATTCTGGTTCCTGTAAGATGAGCTACATGGCTGATACAAGTTCATGGCGTTCCCTTGCTCCTAGGTTTCCAGGGATGTTCTCTTGGTGGATCATAATTCTTATCCCCTAGCCGGGTGTGGTGGTGCAAGCTGGTGATTCCAAGGCTCTAGGAGGCAGAGGCAGGAAGATCTCAAGTGTGAGCCCAGCCTTGGTAACATAGCAAGACCCTGTCTCAAAACTTAAAAAAAGTTGTAAAGGGGTGGGGATGTAGCTCAGTGTGAAGGGCCTGGGTTTGACCCCTAGTATGAAAAGAAAAAAAATCCTATCACCTGTATTTATGTAGGGTACATGGTTAAGGCTCCCTGCTTGCCTGTCTACTAATGTTACCTATCCTACAGCACCAGACAGGAGCCAGAATCCTGGCCATGCCCACCTATGTTCTCCTTTTCGTTTTTGTGGGGTTTTTTTCCCCCCGAGACAGGGTTTTGCTGTGTAGTTCAGGCTGGCTTTGAGTTCGCTATATCGTCCAGGCTGGCCTCGAACTTGGCCTCAGTCTCCGTAGTGCTGGGGGGTGCCGGGATTACAGGCATGCACCACCACACCCAGCTGCTAGTGGTTTTTTAACGTTTATTTGACAATTTGGACAAATTTTTCTTTTGCATTAACTTCATCTAATCCATCCCTCAACTCAAAGTGAGGAAGGACAAAAAAGTATTCTCACAGTTTTTTTTTTAAACAGCCAATAAAAATGAGTCCCGATTTAAGGGTCACATGGCCAAAAATAGAACCTGGGTTTCCAGGGTCCAAGTCCAGGACTTCTCGATGACACCATACTGTAGCCCTTTTGGCTGGTCACCATACAAAGCAAATCGAAGAGATTTGGTCTCTGTCCTCTGAAATTTGGGCTCAGATGGACAGCCAGGATGTTGGCAAACAAAAGAACAGGCTGGTGTACAGTTGGCTCACACACGGGATGAGTAATGGATTTGACAGATAAGGAAAGGCATGTTTCCGGGGTCTAGGAATGTTCCTTCAATTCCAGTCAGGTAGAAGGGGCTAAGGCCTTGGGCCGGTCCTGTTCTGCCTACTTACCTCTGCATATGGAAAAATGGTGCGCTGTGAATTCCCTTCCTCGTCTTTACCTTTCCTGGGCAAAACCCAGTGTAAGGAATCAGAAGGTGGGAATCAAGAACCATTAAGAAATCATCTTCAACCATTTCCCTAATCCACTGTGATGAAAATTCCACTGAACACCACATATATTGTCTGTATGATGGAAAAACTGACAGATCAACCCAATACCCATCCTACCAGGAGAGGGACGCGTAGCAAGTTCTGACTTGGAGAGGTTGACTTTTGAATTTGAGGGACCTTGGTCGAATTCTACAAAAATGAGGCCACTAGCTTACCTGCACAAATACTTTCCAGGAGGTGTAATTAAAGGCCTAGAGGAACCCTGAGGTTAGGAACCCGGGCTGTCAAGGGAGGGACCCGCAGGGGAAAAGTCCTCCTATCTCTTAAGTGATGTGGGGCAGCCCAGTTTCTCCCTTGGAGGGTCTGCCTCCGGGTCTGTTCACAACAGAGTGCTCTAAGCCAGTTAGGACCCAGTTCTGTGTAAATCGGTTCAAGGAGCAGGGTGCAGCCTCTCTGGAGGCTGAGGCAGGAGGGTTGCAGACTCCAGGCCTGCCTGGGAAATTTAGCTAGACCCTGTTTCAAAATAATAATAATAATAATAAATTTTTTTTCAAGGAGTAGGGATGTAGCTCAGTAGTAGAGCTCTTCCCTAGAATGCTCAAGGTCCTGGGTTCAGTCTTCAGTACTTGAAAAAAAAAAAAGCTTCCAGACTCTCTCAGGGAGCCCGCTTAATTGTTGTCTGTAATTGATGTGACATATGCCCCAGAGGCATGTACTGAGGTCCAATTGAGATGGTTTTTTTAAAAAAATGGAATTAATTAATTAAAGAAAGCAGCTGCACGGAGCTGGGGAGACAGTTCCAAACTCCGTAACCCTAAACCAGCCAACCCACCCGACCGGCCTCACCGCCTGAGGAACAATCCCAGCAGTTCACACGGGGTGGGCTGGCTGTGGGGGCGCAGGGGAGGCTGGGACTCAGGGGCCTCGCTCAGCTTTCCCGACCCCCCAAGGCTTGGCTCTTGCGAACCGCGTGGCGGGGTGGGTAGGCAGCCGCGGGAAAGGGAAGGGAAGGGCAAAGGAGGCCTTTTAGGTTGTGCGCTGGAGCAGCGAGGGGACCGCAAGGCATTGGGATGGGCAGGGGAAAGAGGGGCGGGGCCATGAGGGGGCGTGGCTATATGGGCGGAGTCAGAGGAGCGGCTCCCGGATGTGGGGCTGTGGGGGCGGCCACGTGGCGCCTGAGGGCTCTGTACTCAAAGGCGGGATTAATTAAACCTCTGACCTGAGGTCGTTAGCAAAACTGTGGCAGCTTTTCATAGGAGCTGGGTTAATAACAATAATAATAACAATTAACGGTAATGAGGCCTTATCTAGAGCAAGTTGTTCCTGGAGATTGTATACAGGAAGTCATTAATTCCCCTGGCCCCTCAGGGCCATCTTTTCCTAAAAAGCAAATGGGGCTTTCCGGCGGTGCAGAGGATGCTGGTGCACCTGGGGACCCTGGCAGCGCATTGCTGTCCCCATCCAAAGACAGTTACGCACATCCCATAGACGGCGACGTCGACATCATTGCTCTGGACAAGTATCGGAGTGCAACGCCGAGGGTGCTTTGAAGAGCGCTTTAAAAGTTTTTTGTATCTATCTCTCTCTATATAGTGCCGAGAGCACTTCTGTACGTCCGTAATCCCCGCTATTGGGGAGGCTGAGACTGGTGAATTGCAAGCTTGAGCCCAGCCTGGGCAACAATGGAAACTTGCCTCAAAAAATATAAAGGGCTGGGCTGGGCGCACACCTGTAATCCCACCACTCGGGAGGCTGAAGCAGGGGGATTGTTGCGAGTTGGAGGCCAGCCTGGGCTACAAAGTGAGCTCCAGGCCAGCCTGAACTGCAGATCGAGACTTTGTCTCAAAAAAGGCCAATAAATAAATAAAT